CAAGCCTGCTGAAGTTTGGGGTTAAATCCCTCTTTTCGTTGAGTTTCCCGCTGGTGTTTTCCACCGGGCAGTGATTTCTTGCCCCCAAAGTATTCCCTTTGGGAGCCAAATCCTGATTTCCTGAGGGAGAAGGGATTTGGGAGTGGAAACCTGGCAAACAGGGAATGGAGCTCCAGGAAACCTGCCTTCCCCAGCCTGTTTTGGCTTAAAATTCCCTGATTTAACTCCATTTATCCCAAGGGAGCAGCTTTTGTTGCTCCTGCTGGGAATCCAGCCGTGCTGCTGGGTGGGTTTGGGGGGTATTTGGCTGTTTCAGGGGGGGTTAGGGTAAATTTGGGGTGGTTTAGGACTGATTTAAGAGTGTTTAAGGAAGACTGAGTGGGATGGCAGCGTTTTAGGGCAGGTTTGGGGTATTTTGGAATGTGTTTGGAGTGTTTTGAGATTGGTTTGGGGATGTTTAAGGAAAGCTCAGAGGGATTGGGGTGGGTTTGGGGCATTTTGTGGCAGATTTGGGGCATTTTAGGATGGGGTTTGGGGTGTTTAGAGAAAGTTTCATGTGATTGTGATGTTTTAGGTCAGGTTTGGGGCATTTTAAGACTATTTTAAGGGTGTTGAAAGCTCAGCATGATTACAGCATTTAAAGGCAGGTTTGGGGTGGTTTAGGCTGGGTTTGGAGTGGTTTAGGTCTGGTTTAGAGTATTGTAAGGAAAGCTCAGCATGTTTGTGGTGCTGTAGAGCAGGTTTGGGGTGGTTTAGGACTAGTTTAGGGCAGGTTTGGGTGGTTTAGGACTGGTTTAGGGCAGGCTTGGATGGCTTAGGACTGGCTTGGGGTGGTTTAGGGCAGGTTTGGGGCGTTTCAGAACTGGTTTGGGGCAGGTTTGGGTGTTTTAAGACTGGTTATGGGCTAGTTTGGGTGCTTCAGGAGTGGTTTATGGCAGTTTTGGGGTGGTTTATGGCAGGTTTAGGACTGGTTCAGGGCAAGTTTAGGACTGGTTTAGGGCAGTTTTAGGACTAGTTTAACACTGGTTAGGGCAGGTTTAGGACTGGATCAGGGCAGGTTTAGGACTGGTTCAGGGCAGGTTTCAGACTGCTTTGGGGCAGGTTTAGGACTGGTTTAGGGCAGTTTTAGGACTAGTTTAACACTGGTTAGGGCAGGTTTAGGACTGGATCAGGGCAGGTTTAGGACTGGTTCAGGGCAGGTTTCAGACTGCTTTGGGGCAGGTTTAGGACTGGGCACCGTGCCCAGGCACGCAGGTTTGGGTGGGTTCAGCCGCAGCCCATCCCCTCTCCGCAGCGTGTGCACTTCGTGTCGGACCCCTGCACCCTGGAGCTGGACGGTGTCGTGCTGGGCCTCACCTCCACCGACCTGCTCTTCCACATGGGAGCCGAGGAGATCAGCAGGTGGGTGCTGGCCGGAAGCCGGGATTCGGGAATCTCCTGCTGGCGCGTGGATCCAGCCCCAGATCCGCAGCATCCGGGTGTGTTGCTGCTCGGTGACGTGGAGGCAGAGCCTCGTGCCCGGCGCAGCAGCTCCTAGTTGTAAATGGCCTCGTGTCTCGTTACTCACAGTCTGTTCTTTGGCCTTTCCCACCCTTTCCTGAATGGTTTTACAGCTCCTCCGGCATCTCGGACCGGTTCACGCGGATCCTGAAGCACATCCTGACACAGAGGAGGTGAGGCCTTGCTACAACCTCTCAGACCCCAAAAAGGGCCTCTTTGGGGGCCAAACCAGGAGTCTCCTATATTATTCCCACCGTCTTCCCCTTGGAAGTCTCTTTTTGACCTCAGAAATTACTTTGGGAGGGGGGTTGTTTCCCTTTAACAACTGGATTCCGAGGGTTTTACCCTAAACCCACAAACCAACTCACCCATTGGTGTGACCCAGACCTGTTGCTACAGGCAGAGGTGGTTGTTCCTGGCTGTGG